CTCTCACAGTTGTGGCTCACAAGTGAGACAAAGAGAGGCACAGAGAAAGAATATTATTATGCGGGGAGTCCCTGCCAATGACCTGATTCTGCAATTGACAACATTGTCAGCGTAACCACCGCCCTCCGCCCCACCCCCCCTCCTTCTCACAGTGGCGGCTTGCATGCTTTTTGTTCCCGTCTTCATTTTCATTTTCGTAAATTCTAGTGACCGTTTTATTGAGCAGTTATTTGACTTATTTCACTGGCAACTTGTTATCAGTCAACATCAATGGGAGTTTAATAGTTTATTGACCGTTTTAAAAGCTTCATAAACGATGGGTTGGGTTGTGAAGACGCGTAAGTGTGATCAAGGTCCTGACTCTCTCGGCTACACGTGTGCTGCTTTGTGTGTTGTATGCCCATTCAACTTCGTCTGGGTTTGTGTTGCAGGAAGAAGCAGAGGGAGGAGATAATCGATTCAGCTTACAACCGATACACTTTTAATGATGATAATTTACCACAATGGTTCGCTAATGATGTAAGCCCATATTCGTCTCCTTTCTCTTTTCACTCACTGGTTTGTGTTGCATACTCGTGAAACACAGTCATAAGTATGGCGCAGATTCCCAGAACCGACCAGATAATACAGAGTAAATACAAATATAGCGGAAGACTTGAGATACATGGACTGACTCTGACCTGACTCGGACTGCAATCGAACACTCTCAATCATTCGTCAGGGGTGTGAAAGCCCTGGCCTTGGACGTAGACGAAAGGCCAGGGTCTGAGATCGTCCACGGACGAAAGGAGGGAGGAGAGAGACGAAGGGAGGAGGAGAGGGAAGATGACGTCAACTCGTATGTTTCCGAAGATAGTATCTTGAAATGTCAGAGGGCGAAAGTCCGAAATGTCGCGAATATAGTGTCCCACAATGTCTCAGATATCGATCTCACAATGCCAAGTACATCTCCGAAGGCAGATGAAATCAGATCCCACAAGTAGTCCTCAACGTATAGTCCCAATGTTGCCGTCTCCAATATCATCAGACTTCGTAACCATCTTTCATACTCATCGTAGTCCCGTAGGAGAACTCAGAAGTAGACTTAGACTGAGAAGGTAGGAGGAGAGAGAGAGAGAGAGAGGGAGAGAGAGAGAGAGAGAGAGAGAGAGAGAGAGAGAGAGAGAGAGAGAGAGAGGGAGCGGTGGAGGAAGATGAGGGAGAGAAGGCGAAGCCTTCCTCCCTGGTACCTGGTACGGTAGCTATGGCACTGCAAGGGGGCTGGGCCGGTAACTGGCGCTGCGCCCGATGCTGCGCTAATCCTCTCGCCGCTGAGCTCCTGCTCTCATCGATGCTCCTCGCTATGCTGCAGTGCTGTGCTAATCGTACTAACGCTGAATGCTGCGCTAATCCTGAAGACTAACCTTTGGTCCATCTAACCTCCCTACTGAGGCTGGTACCCAGCCTTTTGTAGTGCTGGGCCGGCGTCCTACCTGCTGGTACCTACCGGCCTGGACAGTTGATCTGATCAACTGTCCAGTTTTAAAACTGGAACTTGGCGCCTAAACGCGGCAGCCTCTGCAGTGCCGCCGGTAGGTCCTATGCTGGATCGGTACCGGCCTTGTGGCCGTTGGCCTGGGCCTCTACCCCTGGCCTGCCTGAACCGCCGTGGTCCTGGCCTATCTGGGCCTCATCTGAACCGTCGTCCCTTAGGCCTACCCTGCCTATTTGGAACCGGGCCCTAACTGGGGCCCGTGTGGCTCCACATTTGCATGGTGGTAGGGGAAAGAACGAAAGAAATAAAACGTACAGTAACATGTCAGGTGCAGAGAGGTTGTGCAAGGGAAGGAGTGGCTTGACTCTTGCGTGCATGAACTTCACTCAACCGCACTCAACCGCACTCAGGATTTGAGAGCGAGAGCCAGGGAGGAGAAGGAGAGAGGGACTGAGACAGACTAGACTGGACGCATGAAGATTCCTGCAACAAGAAGAAGCCCGAATGAAGTAGACAATGGCGCACTTGATTCCATGATGAATGAACGGTGCTGATGGCCGTCGGTACAAGTACCATGGCCAAGTGAGGCTTGTGTTTGAATGGGGCCAAGCTGAATTGTTGGCACCAAAGAGTTCGGAAATCGGGAAAGGAAGTCTGATGCCGCAATGGTCGAGGGGCAAACCTGCAAAAATGCCAGGGTATCGAAGACTTGGACGAAAAGGCGCTGTGCCTGGAAAATGCCCAGACCCCAAAACAGTCCGAAGGACTGGCGCTGAAAATAATAGGTTCAGGGTTCGAAACCCTGGTTCGTTGCACGATTCCCCCCCCCCCCCCCCCCGGGGAAGAACGCAATGTCCCGGCTGCCGAATGTCTGTATGTGAGAACAAGACGGTGCGAAGCCCGCCTCCAAAGAATCTTCTTCTTCTTTTTTTAAAAATGGTCCTGGCTCCATATCATAGCTACGCCGGACCGAATCTGGACCTCTCGGGCCCTTCCGGACTTCCGGAATACGAGAATTCTCCGTAGGATCTGGACCGGTCCAGACTCTCTTTCCGGATGTCCGTCCGGATCCCCTGTACATTCCGGGGAAAAAAAAAAAAGCGTACATACATACATTACCTCGGTGTGTGTGAAGGATGAGCAACATCGGAATGAATCCTCAGGCATAACATGGAAATATGCACTGCCAGTCTGCCACACTTTTTTTTTCATTTTTTTTCATGTGTGCATCAACTGAGTAGCCTGCCAATGTGCAAAATGAGAAGGAATCTTCCGCAAGAACATAGGAAGATACACCTCGATGGACAGATACATTGAAAAGAAACCCCGGTGTGAGTATGGACTAAGGTGCTGTCAGATGCAAATGTCACCGAGCACACGCACGTGAGAGCGAGAGAGAGAGAGAGAGAGAGAGAGAGAGAGAGAGAGAGAGAGAGAGAGAGAGAGAGAGAGAGAGAGAGAGAGAG